CCAAACTGACTCAAGGCCTCCGATCCCACCTTCAGCAATGCCAGGACCATGTTCAGGTGACCTTGCAAGGCAGCTTTCACAGGGCGGTGCTGTTGCGGGTGCTAGAGGTCTTCTGCTGGTTCGTCGGCCTCTCACCCACTTTCAAAACGGCCCCTGGCAAAGAGCACTCGCCAAACTGACTTTCGGACTGCAACATGGCTCCAGCCTTCAGCAACGCAGGACCATATTCAGGTGACCTTGCAAGGCAGCTTTCATGAGGGCTGTTGCGGGTGTTAGCGGTGCGCTTCTGGGGCCTCAACCACCTTGATCTGCTTTTGCGAACTGCACATTCTCGAACTGATGCTCCATTGCACGTCTCTTTCTGCATGTCTTCTTAAAACAACATCGTACTGTTTCGTGGACTGCCACGGCCAAAGTATTGCAAGATGCTGGAGCAAATCGGAAAAGCACTGATACTCGAGATATGACAAGCTTCGATCCAGAGGAGGGAGCAGAGCTCCATCAGTCAGCCACTCTTTCTCAAACCCGACTTGGATCTGCAGGCGATGCTGTGACTGTGTGCTGGACACCAACGTCAATGACTGGAAATAACATCCAAAAAACGTCTGCTGCGTAGACTAATCACAGCTCCAAGAAGCTTCTGCGTTCAACGAGGACTAGTCACATTTCCGCTAGCCGTAGGCTTGCTCCAAGAAGCTTGTGCGCTCAAGAGGCGCTGTCAAGTAACTGTACAGAACCTAGTTACACACACTGTACGCACTGCAACCTGGGTCTGTTTCACTGCAATCGAAACGTTTCCCGAAACCACTTCTGCTGGTTTGCCTTTGTGGCCAGACTCCCCAACAGAACGTCTGCTGTTTGGGTTTAAAGTCTCAAGGCCCACAAAAACGCGTCTGCTACTTTGATCTTTGTTTAACGCTTTTCAAGCATTTCAAACACATCAGCTGCTTGGGTTTTCTCGAGCTGCTGCTTTGATCTGTGGCCAGATTCCCCAAAATGAATGTGTGCTGTTTGGGTTTAAAGTCTCAAGGCCCCCAAAAACGCGTCTGATGCTTTTATTTTCGTTTCGCGCTTTCAGGGCCCTAAAACACGACAACTGCTTGTGTCTTTTCGAGCTGCTGCATCGAATCTGTGGCCAGACTCCCGAAAATGAACGTCTGCTGTTAGGATTTTGTTGGCAGAGTCTCAAGGCCCCCAAAAACGCGTCTGCTACTTTGATTTTGGTTTCGGGCTTTCAGGCCCCTAAAACACGGCAACTGCTTGTGTCTTTTCGAGTTCCTGCATTGAATCTGTGGCCAGACTCCCGAAAATGAACGTCTGCTGTTAGGATTTTGTTGGCAGAGTCTCAAGGCCCCCAAAAAACGCGTCTGCTATTTTGATTTTGGTTTCGGGCTTTCAGGTCCCTAAAACACGGCAGCTGCTTGTGTCTTTTTGAGCTGCTGCTTTGAACTTCTGCCAGACCCTCCAAAATGAACATGTGCTGTTTGGATTTTGTTGGCAGAGTCTCAAGGCCCCAAAAAACGCGTCTGCTACTTTGATTTTCGGTTTCGGGCTTTCAGACCCTGAAACACGTCAGGTGCTGGTGTTTTTCAAGCTCCACGGCGAAAAGGATGCAGCATTCGAATTATGAATTGCGTGGCAGGCACAACCTCACATTGGCTCGCGGTTGTGTCCAAACACATCCTCCTCGTCCTCGTCCTCGTCCTCCTGGCGCCGAGGTCCATGGGAATTCGCGAGCAAACGGATGTCCTCGTTTACACGCACCCACAGAACTCGTCGACTGATGGCCGTATTGTGTTCCACCGTGCCGACTTCTTTCGGCCAAAAGCGATCCCAAGTCCAATTGGTGGAGAAAATGCGCGGGGTTTGCTTGGGAATGGTTCCATCAGCATTTCTGGCCACAATGTCACGGGTCTTTGACAAGTCGACAAGACCCTTGACGTCGTCAATCGAGCGTTCTACCATGCAGGCTTCATCGAACACCAAGCCTTGTTTGGGGCCGAAGCTGATGTCGCGTAGGCGGTCCAGACGATTGATGAAATGAAATCCGGCTTGTCCTACACAAGCGTGCATCAATGCGCAGGCGAATTCCGTCTTACCTAGGCCGCCGCGTCCCTCCAAAATCAAAGTGACCTCTTTGAAACCACCTTGCAACCACCAAGCCAAGCGCTCATGGATCTGCGGCAAAGGAACAAAGCTGGACAACAGAAAATCTGGAACGGCCACGAAGCTTCCAGAATCCATGTTTTCAGCATTCCACGCACTCAAAACTTTGTGAACCAAACCTGCGACATTTGCTTGGGCGCCGAGTGTGTTCCAGAGCGTCTCATCTCCTGAAATCTTTCGTGCTTTAGCAAGCTGCCAAGCGTCTTTGCAAGTTTGCACAGAATGTTCGACAAATGCATCCGTAATTTCTGAAAATGTCATCAAGGTTCGCTTCTTTCCAGGTTGGCCATTACGGGCTTCCATCTGGGGTACAGACTGTTGACAAAGTTGCATGAGCTGTGGTGTGGTCACATGAGAAGGCCAATGCCATGGATCTTTGTCTAAGTCTGCTGCAAGCTTGTGAGCACTGGCCACCAAACAATACTTGAGGTACGCTTGGTAGCCGACCAAGTTGAAAGAGAAATGGCCATGCACACCACCCTGCGCAAGTAGATGACCCAGTCTTACATGAGCAAACGGCCTGACAAATTTGAAGATGAAGTGTTTGTGTCGGGCTCGTTGGCCCGTCTCCTTGTCATACTTCTTGTGGGGCTCGTCAAAGACATGCAATCGACTGATATTCGATTGCTGGTTGCATTTTGCAAGGGCCTGAAGGAACATCTTACCAGCTTCCTCGTTGCTGAGATCCGCAGGAATCAAGCAATTGCGAGATTTGCGGGAAGCTGCATCTGCCAGGTACTGACGGGGACAAGGCCAAACAAACTGTCCACAGCGAGCACGGGCTTTAGGATCTGCGGGCTCGTCAGCATTGGAGGAGGACTCGCCCTCAGGACGAAATATGTTGTTGAACATCTTTAAAAACTGCTACACATGCGAACACCGACGTGCCTCAACATCACACATGGGTACATCCTCATCTGAAGATGAGGAGGACCCAGACGTGGGCGAAGAAGACATGGCGGGTTTGCCACTGGAACTGGGACTTTGAACTCAAGTTCGGTTGTGGCTAGTGAGACGCAGCTGGCTAGTTACGTTGGCAGCTGGTACTTGTTGCCCCTTCTCAACGCGAGCCCACAACCTTCGCAATTGTCAACAATATGTCTTCATGGCCACATAGACGACTACAGCTTGCAAAAAGGACAACTGTCACACGGAGTCCGGGAAATATACCTGCTCCACGCACATACCGCGAAACAAGCGGCCAAGATGACAACTGTTACGAGGATTGTGGTTTTCACCGTGCCAAAAACAAGCGAACATGCTCCGCCCACAGCAAAACCGTGTGACGGTGGCCATTTCCGGACTGGAATGTGCCAAAATCCAAGGAATATGGCTTCTCTACAGCAGAACCGTGTGACAGTTGCCACTTTTCGGACACGAATGTACCAAAACCCAAGGAATCTGCTCCGTCCACAGCGAAACCGTGTGACAGTTGCCACTTTTGAAGCACGAATCTGCCAAAACCTAAGGAAAACACACATTCCAAAATAGATTGCCAAAAATCCGGACCGGGAAAGGAAAATCGTAACGTTGGAAACCTTGTAAAAGATTCGAATTTTCTTTCTTCCAGCACATTCAACGTTACGATTTTCTGTTCTGGATCCGCATTTTTGGCAATCTAAAAAGGCCCCCTGCGCGCAAAACCAAGAGAATGTGCTCCATCCACGGCGAACGGTGTCACGGCGGCCACTTTTCGGACAGAAATGTCCCGCAACCCCAAAACAACGTCTGCTACTTTGATTTGGTTCTTTAATCCTAAAGCACTGTTTCTGCTGCTTTGACCCGTTAGCCAGACTCCCAAACAAGAACGTCTGCTGTTTGGATTTTGTGGTCACGGTCTCACCCAAAGCACGTCTGCTGCCTTGACTTTGCTTTGCGACTCCAAACGCGCTAAGGATGCTTTCGCTTTGCCAGGGCTCCAAAAACACGTCTGCTGCCTCGATTTTGCTTCGCGACTTCAAGTGCGCGACGAAAGCCTTCACACATCTTCACACTGCTTGTGACCGTTAGCTTCGCTGCTCCACCCCCTGTTCTTACAATACTTGGACTTCATGCAGGGACCCTAGAACACTTCTACTACTAACATCCCTGCTTTCCAACCCCACTGGCACGAACCGTGGTTTGACTTTCTGCCACATCCTCAACATCACTCCTTAAGTAGGATAATACAAGATAAACATGGCGTAATGCAGTCTGCAACCTTATTTTTTTCACGGCAAGGTGCATCGTGAGACGCAAGGAGAACTTCAAAAGCTTTGCAGATCCCAGAAGATCTTCAGCCGCTGCGCTTCTCTACGACAAGGCTCAGCAAATCTTCCTCCGACAAACGCTTCGCTGCCTGCTTTGCCTCAGCTTGACAGCAATTACAGAACCTACAGGTTGACGCAACTTCCTCGCCTTACGGACACGGCGCTGTTCTTGCTTCACTTGCTTCATGACCCTTCGGGCTTCTGCCTGGAATGCAGAAGATTCAAAAACGAGGACAAGCGGGAAGACCTCACTGAGACAGAAACCTTTGCAGCTTCACGCTCTTGCTTCAAACGCTGTAGGCGGGCTGACAAGCTTTCCTTTCAACTCTGCTTTTCGGTCACTGCTAATTACCTTCGTCTAACACACATTTCTGTCCAACCATGCACTCACAGAGCCTGGGGCAACTCGACTCGCTCCCTTACAGGAGGGTCGGAAGGAGCTGCTGCGGCTTCTTCTGACATTGCGTACCAGAAGTGCAGAAAGCGGAGCCAAAAAACTGCACCAAATCATAGGTGAGCCAAGAGGGCCTCTCCTGTCACAGTTCAGCCGCGCTGCACTGCAGCATGCAAGCATTTACTTTTGCATTACTCGAGGAGCGGCATGATGTGCTCTGGAGCACCGATCCAATCGGTATAAACGAGTTTATACCGCCGCGGTAGGAGAGTCGCGAGCTCAGCAGGCGACAGCCGCCCGGGCTGGCAGCTTAAGCGCCCACCAGAAAAATGCTTTGCAAGATTCTGGTGCAAATTCAAACCTTGGTTGGGAAGCCCAACCAATGAAAAAGCTTGATGCCACGGCTCGCTTCGGAGCCAATCAATCGCCTGAAACAAGATGTGAAACCAGGCATGCGCTGTTACGGGACCTTGTTGTGCCATTCGATAATCACGGAACAAACACTCCAATTTCTGCTTGTAGCGTGAGAAGGCGTATACGTCCAAAGGCTGCACCAACGGCGTGCAAGCGGGGGGCACTGGTAGCAAAAAGATGCTCTGCAGACGAGCCACTCTGACAACAGGTTGCGCCCAATGCACACTAGCTGCGTCCATTAACAAGATTGGCTGAAAGCCCATTCCCGAAAACTTCGTGCGAAACACGTATCCTATCAGTTGGATGAGCCACACCATGATGTCGGTGCTGTTCCAGGCGCTCCTTCGGCGAAGAAGCCAGACATTGTCGGGTTTGTTCACATTAAGCTGACGGAGTAAGGTCTTTGTAAGCTTCCGCGTGTTGCAGATCAGCACTTGTGGCAAATGCTGTTGAACTCGCAACACGGGGGATAGCAAGGCAACATGCGTTATGCCGCCGCGTCGATCACCCTTGGGTACCATCACCTTTGGCTTTTCCGACAGCGTCAAAGACACCAAGCCGCTTGCACTGTAGTAAGAATACTGAATCGCTGTTTCATCCAAGTTGATGAAAACAGGCACTTGGCTCTCTGGCACTTTGCCTTGAAGCCAATCTGCATGTCGCCAGAAGAGGCCCACCTCAGAGGTGTGCAAACTGTCCGGTTGGCGGGCCCCAGTTTTGGGACCCGATTTCGGAGCCCCGAAGCGGGGCCCGAAACGCAGCTTTAAATCATTCAGAAAGCAAGCAGCCTGGGCTGACCCCCAAATCTGGGACACCCCAAAGAGTCCGAAACCGGGCTCGAAGCTTGTGGACAAACTGATGTCAGATAAGCAAACTTTAGCCTTTAGCTGCGTCCAAACGACCACACTGCTGTGGTGACAGAGAAAAATCTGAAGCAAGAAGGAAATCACGAGAGCCCCGTCCAACATATGCCTCAATGGCGCATGAACCCAAGCACCAGAAGTGAAACCTCTGGCACTGAAAGAAAACAATCAATCCCACTCCATTGCGCCTTGGCTTGTATTTCATCCGCCGGCAAATCGTCCAGCGGCCGCAATGCACCATACCTCAAACACCAGCGCTTTCGAAATCTCCGCGACCACTTGCGCAGATTGCGTCGGGTGCTGGATGTTGCCTCCGGTCCATTCGCATCTACCACATGGTCACGCAACCTTCTGTTCAGCAGAGGCGCACCCAGCTTCTCACAGTGGTCCAGATATTCACGTGCAGTGCGCAAAGACGTGGGTGCCACCCCATGCACGCAGTTCATTTCCTGTACAAAGCCATTTGCCTTGTAGTTCGCAATGAACCGCACCGCCTCACGCCGAACACCTACATCTTTTGCTGTGACAGGGTCCTCGACCTTTAGCAGAACTTCCAACTCGGTACGCAGATACAGCTCTTCTATGAAGCATTCTTGCTCAGGCTGTTCCATGTCTTGGCGCTTCGATTTTGATTTCAAGAACTCGACGGCCAGTAGAACGTTGAAACCGCTCAAGACATACACTGCCAACAAAACAATGCATTGGCGCGGGTTTAAACCAGCATTTGCCCAGCATTGCTTCTCTGACCGACAGAGTCGCGAAGTAGAGCGCACCTTCTTCTGCAGCGCACGCACCTGGAGGGTGTGCACAGGAGCATGCGTGACACAACGACAACAGCAAAAACCTTTGAGGCAAATTCGACACCTTCTCACGAGCTTCCTCAAGAGCAGACACATCTGCAACACGCTTCATGAGCGTGACTGTACAGGGCAGTCTATGTTTCTGATGCTTGAGCCTCCTCGGACAGGAGAGGCCCTCTCGGCTCTCCTACATTTTTGGCATGTTTCCGTGCACCACCTTTTGGAGCTCAGCTCATGGAAACCGCTGAAGACTCTGTGGCATGATGTGCACCCACGCCCGCCCAACATCACTTTTGGTGACCCGCAACTTGGCTTTTACCGGGCTCACCACAGGAATTGACAAGGAACAGCACTGCGGCGCGAAAACAATGCAGGGCGGCCACGCAACGATTCAGATGGCCAGAGTCAAACTGCAAATTGTTGCTCGGCACTGTTGCACGAGGCAAAGCATAACGTTGGCAATGCGCTGTTCAATGAAACGAGGCTTCTGCAAAGCTCAGCACCACAGTCACATCGAAGACGGACAGTCCCAGCCAAACTCATTGAAGAGCCAATTCTCAACGTTACGATTATAGCTTTGGCATAGCAGGCTGGCACAGCCTTCGGGGCGTTACCCCCGCGGGCATGGAGCATCAGTTTTTAGTTGCTCCACACCAAACCTGTACAAGCGCCAAAAGAGTGAGACGAACAGCGGCAGAAGCCACATACAGAAAAGTGAAACGGGAGCTGGACCGGTGTGCATAGCACACTTTCCATTTACACGTAAATACAAGTCGACGCAAACTCGTTTGCTGGACTTGGTTGCCTTTGATTCGGAACCACAAGCATCGAAGCTTGATGGTGAAATTCACGTTTGAGCCAAAGAGTTTAGGGTTCATGGATTCAAGGTTGAGACGTGGAAGTTGCGCTGTCAGCACGTGCTTGCAAGCACTTGAGCTTCGAACCTGGCTTCCGTCAAGACTGCTACAAAAACACGCGCGTTGCAAACATGGTTTTGCCGCAAGCTGTGTCGGTTGTTCGCATACCTGATCCAAACATGCTGGCGCATGCACGTCCGTTTTAGTCTGGTCCGAGCTGAGGGCTGTCGTCGCACATGGACCTGAGCCAGGCTTTCACAGAAGGAAACTGAGGCTGCCAGTTTGCGGCTTCAGACGTTCTGAGTCATTCATTCACCCTCAACGAAGCGGGAACATGATGCCAAAAGAACGTCTGCTACTGATTTGGCTTTCGGGCCTCTCAAACACTGTCTGCTGCTGAGACGTCTCTTTGGGTTTTGTTGCCAGAGTCTCAAGGCCCCAAAAAACGTGTCTGCTACTTTGATTTCGGTTTCGGGCTTGCAGGCCCCTCAAACACGGCAACTGCTTGTGTCTTTTCGAGCTGCTGCATTAAATCTGTGGCCATACAGCCCATAATGAACGTCTGCTGTTTGGGTTTTGTTGCCAGAGTCTCAAGGCCCCAAAAAACGCGTCTGCTACTTTGATTTCGGTTTCGGGCTTGCAGGCCCCTAAAACACGGCAACTGCTTGTGTCTTTTCGTGCTGCTGCATTAAATCTGTGGCCATACAATACAGCCCATGATGAACGTCTGCTGTTTGGATTTTGTTGGCAGAGTCTCAAGGCCCCCAAAAAACGCGTCTGCTACTTTGATTTCGGTTTCGGGCTTTCAGGCCCCTACAACACGGCAACTGCTTGTGTCTTTTCTAGCTGCTGCATTAAATCTGTGGCCATACAACCCATAATGAATGTCTGCTGTTTGGATTTTGTTGGCAGAGTCTCAAAGGCCCCAAAAACGCGTCTGCTACT